GGCTGACCCCGCCGCACCGCGAGACGTTAAAACCCTGCCAGGCAACGAGCTCCGCTTATGAGAGAGTGTGCAAAGGAAGAAAAAAACCTCCGTTCTTTGTCTCCACGGTAAAAAAATAAAAAAATATAAGCTGCGTTCAAGTCCATGGGCCTATTGACTCTCCAGATCAACAAACCAGAGCAGCAGCGTTTGCACAAGCAAACAAACTTACTCTGAATTTCGATTTAAAGCTTTCGTGACTGCAATGATTCATCTTCTTTGGTTCTTTCGGTAAAGTCACGTAGAATGAGAATAAAATAATAAATTGATAAAATAAAATAACACAATAATATTCTCACGACGTTTCGGCCACAACACAAGCGGCCTTCATCAGGTGAAGGGGGGCGAGACTGTCTGGTAGGACAGCGCTGGAGTGAGAGAGCCACGTTCAGATCACGGCTTTTAAGCTGTGTGAGAGGAACAAAGAGCCTTGACACAGGAATTAGCATAAAATTTAGCATTGAAATGGCTGAATGATTAGCTTGTGACTGGTCACAGAAATAGCTATGTTAAAAGTTAAAGCATACACATCCGCAGAGGCACCCATTGTTAAAAGGAATTAGCATAGAATTTAGCATTGAAATAGCTAAGTTAAGGCATACACATCCGCAGAGGCACCCCTTGACAATGGGATTAGCATAGAATTTAGCATTGAAATGGCTGAGTGATTCGCTTGTAACTGCTACAGAAATAGCTACGTTGAAGTCAGAGCATACACATTCACCGAGGCACTTAGTACAAATCAAACAGGAGAATTTAGCATTGAAATAACTAGGCGAATTTAGCATTGAAATAACTGGGTGATTTGCTAGTGACTGGTCACAGAAATGACTACACATCTGAGCTATTCACAGTACTATATAGTGAACCAAGGGTAAGAATCCACCCATTTTTTCGCCATATAGCATTGTGATATATAACGACTTATGGTTGGTGGCTTAGCTGATTGGAGAATATAGAGTTTATTGATAACATGAAGGTAATTTATATTTTAGTTTTTATTGGTTCACTATATAGTACTGTGAATAGCTCAGATGTGTAGTCATTTCTGTGACCAGTCACTAGCAAATCACCCAGTTATTTCAATGCTAAATTCGCCTAGTTATTTCAATGCTAAATTCTCCTGTTTGATTTGTACTAAGTGCCTCGGTGAATGTGTATGCTCTGACTTCAACGTAGCTATTTCTGTAGCAGTTACAAGCGAATCACTCAGCCATTTCAATGCTAAATTCTATGCTAATCCCATTGTCAAGGGGTGCCTCTGCGGATGTGTATGCCTTAACTTAGCTATTTCAATGCTAAATTCTATGCTAATTCCTTTTAACAATGGGTGCCTCTGCGGATGTGTATGCTTTAACTTTTAACATAGCTATTTCTGTGACCAGTCACAAGCTAATCATTCAGCCATTTCAATGCTAAATTTTATGCTAATTCCTGTGTCAAGGCTCTTTGTTCCTCTCACACAGCTTAAAAGCCGTGATCTGAACGTGGCTCTCTCACTCCAGCGCTGTCCTACCAGACAGTCTCGCCCCCCTTCACCTGATGAAGGCCGCTTGTGTTGTGGCCGAAACGTCGTGAGAATATTATTGTGTTATTTTATTTTATCAATTTATTATTTTATTCTCATTCTACGTGACTTTACCGAAAGAACCAAAGAAGAAGAAAACTTACTCTGCTCCAGTGTTCAACTTTCTCGGTCTCGTCAGCAGAGTGAGGCAGCATGCTAAACTAACGCTGTCGGGTTATCGTATGCCATTGGCAAGAGCACGTGATTAAAGCGATGGGACCCCAATATGATTTTTAAAGGTAGTGTTAGAGGAAGATGTCCAGGGGTGTTCTGTGACAACTACTCATTAGAACTATGTTTGCAATCGCTGCTTGACCGTGAGAATTGTAATTCGCACGTCATGCAGCGCTGCAGTCATTATTTACCGTGTGCTTTAAATTGTGTCAGCGGCAGTGTCAACACTCACGGGATAGAGTCACAGGGCGAATGCCATCTCAGCTCATTGAGTTCGCGAGCCGAATGTGTCTCTGTGTTGTCTCTCTCTGCTTGTGCGTCTGTCTGTGTGTCTCCGTGTCTGTGTTTTGTCTCTCTCTCAAATTTAGTTCTACCTGATGACGGTTGCTTGTGTTGCAATCGAAACGTCGTATTCTATTATTTAATTTATTTTCTTTCTACGTGACTTCACCGAAAGAACCAAAGAGTAATTCCTGCAGTCGCGAAAGCTTCAAATCAGGTTTGTTTTGAGACGGCTTTAAAATGCGGCTTTGTATACGCTTTCATTTGAACGTGTCGTGCAGAGAAAAAAAGAAAGCCATCGAGGAAAGTGCATTAATCATCGCGCGGGCAATCGATATACCCTCTTCCTAGATCCCTGCCTCTCTGGAGTCCTGTCGCTGGAAGTCGTGGTGGTGGTGGGGAAAGGTTGCGTTTGGTGCTGGGAAGACACTGCTATCAGAGCTAATCGATGCGCCCAGAGAAAGAGAGAGAGAGAGAGTGCTCTGTCCGCCCTCTCTCATCCGGTTGTTAATCTGCTCCACTTAATTTCCAACGGCATGTTTTTTTCCTCGTTGCACATCGCACAAAAAAAGTTCACTGAATCATCCACTTACGGCCTATTTAAAACAAGTCAATAAATCACGAGTGGTATAAACGCAGCCACAACGGAAGGTTTACGCTTTGCTTGTCCGATTGCTTTATGCATCCCTATTAGGCACCGGAGCTACAAATCGTTAGGGGCCCTCAAAAAAGTTGCCGGGCGAAATGCCCGAATTTCTTCTTCTTTCTTTGAACACAAAACCCAGCCCACAGCTGGCGTCTATCTATATGCAACGGTGTGTGTGTGTGTGTGCCTGTGTATGCGCGCTCGTGTGATCCACGACGAGGCCAGGAACTCCCTTTTGTTGATCCTTGTCGTTTTCCACAGGGGGCCAGGAGGTGGCGTTCTGGGATGCCATTGCTCCACACCACAGGTAATTTATTTTGGCAGCACTACGTTAAAACATCCTCCACACACTGTGGACGGTTTACACGCGGAGCAAACGGGGGCCAATTCGACTCCGGTGCTCGCAAATAAGCGCCTCGCCTGTGAAGTGTGCACTATACTCTTTGGCTCTATTGGGTAAAGTCACGTAGGTGAAACTAAAATAACAAAAAATCACGACATTTCGGCCACAAAACAAGCGGCCTTCATCAGGTGAAGGGACGAGACTGTCTGGAGGACAGCGCTGGAGTGGGAGAACGTCTTTCGCACCGTGCTTAGACAACCGTGCTGAAGACGCTCACTGCATCGCGTGCTTTCACACGCGCTTCTGCGGCCGTCTGGAACGCCCTTTCTTCCGATATTAGGAAGCCACTGGAGCTATGCACTTTAAAATCTAGTGAAAACTGATCTTTTTTAGAACTGCTTTTTGTGTTTAGTTTGTTAGTCCTTCCCCCGGACCTCCGATAAGCCCAGATGGCTACGTATTGTGCGAAAGACGTTCAACTTACATCCATCTCCTTTGCTACTTCATATTCGATATATATCGATGACCATTCACAAGGATATGAAAATGCCCTCCTCTTGCAGGCGTGGTATTTAGTAATGACCCCACTGCATTGAATCGGTTAAAATTCCCTGTGCTGGCAAGGCAGTCTGTTTATACAAAGCAACCACCGTCAAATACCTCGCTTGTTAGTTGTGCAATATTCCTTAATTATCCTGTAACTCGTTCTCTGCAACATCAACGGTGTAGTGCTTTACTACCTTGATTGATGGCCCTAAGTCAAAGATGGAAATGTCACGTTCCTACACTGGGGGCAATTTCTCTCCGTATAACAAATACTTATGACTTTAGAAAAAAAGTGGAATTAATGTTACCCACCCCAGAGGGATGATGGGATGAGTCAAAAACCCCTATAAGGAGGACACGATGCCTGAAAGTATGTCTACCGCAGAGATGGAGCGATGAAATGAAGTGCTCGATGGATTGTTGGATCACAGGGCCGTGAGGGATGGTGGTGGCTTAGGGGAGACCTTATCCAGCAGTGGATTTATCATGGCTATGAATAATGATGATGATAGTCTTTAATTCTACAAAGTAGATCACTACAACTGCGTAGTGTCTGGTATAAATGCAAACAGACTCATTTTGTTCAGTCAGAAACTGGTAGTGATGCTGTCACTCATGAATTACAAAAAAATGTGTTTAAATCTCACGGGTGTGCTCTTACCGCCGTAGTTTATAGACAGTAAAGCGACATACAACGTATATGACCACATTGAAAATCCTTAACGTGTTACGCACGAACATGCAATTCGATCAACTGCAGCTTTAACAACGTTCATTGGAAAATATTTGCCAAATAAATACTCATGCGAGCACGAGAGAAAACAACAAACAAAACACCGAAATGATGAACGAAGCAAAGTGCCGACTACACCGATCATCTTCTCGTTTCCTCTGATCGTAAGACAAGAGAGAGAGAGAGCGCGCGCGCGAGAGAGAGGGACGGCCGTTGCGATGACACCACGACGCATCACTTAACGGGGCAGCGCCCATAGTTCGTCAGTTCGGTGAAAGCAACAGAGCGGTCAGCGACGAACGCAGGGTAGCGATGTGGATCTGTGTTCCTGTCCCACGCTCCGTTTGATTAACGAGCGTGAAGCCCGGCGGCAGACTCGCATTTTAAGAACGCGTAAACCAACGTCACCCGCGAGTCGCGATTGCCGCCGAAATGTCTCGGGGAAAGATGAAATGACGATTTTTGTTTGCGGGCAAATTGCCCATCTGCGCTAACAGAGAGACAAGCTTACAACTATTGATGTCTCTTCGCGTTGGGGGGGGGGGGGGGGGGGACGCTGCATTCTCTTCACGCTTTAATTCTTCCACGAATACATATGTGCAGGAAGAAGAAGTAGAAGAAGAAGAGCGGAAGGAAGAAGACGACAATCTTTCGAAGTTTGGCAGCCGTGCATTTATTTTGTTCGCAGTGATTTGAGCGAGTAAATTGAAGCCCACTCAGGGCCTTGTCTGTGCCGTTTCACTCTTTGCCCGTGACGATGTACGCCGAGAATTCCCGAGTAACAGCAACAATAAAACACGCCGCTCAACATCGTCGAGGTTTGTACTAAGAAAATAAAACAAAACAAGTTAATGGCCCACGCCCAAACCTACACGGGGGCGGTCGTCAAGCGCCAACGTTTTTTGGGTGGAGCGGACGCGACGATCAGCACAGGCAGCATGCAGCAGCACCGGCGAACTGGCTTTTGTTGTTGTTGTTGTTAAATTGTTTAGTTATTCGACAAGAGCTCCGTAAAAGGCACGAACCGTAATACGGCAAAGGCACCGCGGGCAAGTTCGAAGTCGGTGCCCCTCGGTTCTGGCAAGATTGGGGGCTTACGTGGGAACTTCGAGCGGCAACGTAGGGGGACACAACGACTGCGAGCGGGGTTGTGAAGGCTTTTGCGTGGAGAAGGGAAGGCCTAGAAAATAAATGAACACAAAAATGGGGGGGGGGGGGGGTTTAGGGGTGAATTCAACCGCAACTTAAATTTGGCAGCAACTTCCACACGTTTGCTACTCGTGCCACATGGACGAAACATGCGAACACCGCCACGCTTGCTACGTGGCCCATGTTGTTGTTGTTGAGTCGTTAGCGGCTAGTGGTGCCACCCAGCCCGTGTGTGTCTGTACGCGCTGCCGTGGTCTGCGCAGAGTCCCGTCGCTGCAGCCCTCCCCGTAACACCGGGGCTTCTGTTGCAGCACAGGTCATGCTGTTCTCAGCCACGGCTCTGTTTTCACAAGTATCGGATGACGATGCCAAGGCGCTCACCTACGCAAGTCAATACGGCCACGCTTATCCCGTCCGAGCTCTGATTGCATCTGTTTTTGATGTACTTGGCTCGGCGTGCGAGTCATCAGTCGGACGCAACAGTGGCGACTCAGCTGGAAAGTTCTGTTGGTAGTAGGTTTTTTTGTTGCGATTGAGCCGTTTTCAATAATTCACGTTCAGACAGATCGTTCCAAAGGCCTTGTTGTTTATTTTTCTTCCCTACATTCGGGAGGGCAAATGCACAATTTGGCTGTGGCTAATGTAGCATGTAATGAAAACGTGTGTGAGATTTGAAATAGAATACATTAACCATGATGTCATTGGTAAATGTACGTCGCCCACACCTTTTAACCCAAGCGAGAGAAAAAACACAAAAACAAACGCCCGGTAATCCTAGGACAAGTTGGCATTGGCCAAGGGAAATGTCTGCATTTCGAGTTCCTTGGTTCGTACGACAAGTTCAGTGGAATGAAATAAACATGCTACGCGTGGGGCGTTTGGCTTTTTTGGTGCGGAGCTCCCCATCATCCTTACCCCACTCCTCCCTCGCCTGCCGCTAACCCCCTCAACGCAGCGTGTCACCATGTTGCAAAACTGCAACACGTGTTTGTACAGGCGTTTCAGACACCTGGCGTTGCAAGGAGAGTGTCTCCCGAGCAACGTTCTCAGCGGTGAGCAACTCCCCGTGCTGCCTTTTATGCCAGCGTGTGTCTCCAACAGTGGGGACCTTGTGCGCCAGCTCCTGAAACATCCTTTGTTCTAAATGTTACCACAAACGAAAAAAAACGTATTTACATGACTCATCCTATTCGTGAAGTAGAGGGCCAATATTCCAGACTTAATTTCCCATTGAGATATTCCTGATTTTACTCCACTTATCCGCGGAAAATAGTCGCATATAACTGGTAGAATAGGGCCACAGGTGAGAGGCGCTTCCGTGCAATATGCGGCTGCCGCGGATAATAGGAGTCGTGGGTAATGCATTTGCGGAAAACAGGAGTTCTGCAAATCGATAGACAACGCGTACGATCGTCATCCGAATTAATCTGCAAGAACGGCTTGCATTGGCAGGCTAATACAAACAATGATGGCACGATACGACGTACGAACAAGGGATTAAGTATGCGAGCGATGTTTTGAGGACTGGCACGTTTGCCAGCGTTCAGTCCAGGAGTGTGCCAATTGAATGCAAAAAGCTGTTTGGAGTGAGCGTGGCAGTTCTCGGTTGTTGCAGTGTGCTCGGCAGAGTCGTGCGTTCGAGTCACAGATAGACGTTTTAAAAAAAATCTGCATTATCGCAGTGTTCAATGTGATCCCCCTTAATTCGGGAATGTAAAACGTTCCCGTCGATAAGGAACAAAACATGAATTTGGCTTGTTTGCAAACTGGCAAACATCACGTTCGGACGTGAGTCGCAACAGAAGGCTCCTCTGTCTGCCCTCGTCCGCTCACACAATGGCCATGCTTTTCATACTTTTGTTGTCAAATTCACTTGGAAAGGGCTGCGGTGACAGAGCGCTTGACTGGCGAATGGAAGGTTAGTGTCCACTCAGCCCGTAATCCTTCACGGGTCCATGGAAATAGAGCGTCGCTTTGTGGGAAGTCCAACGGTCGTCATCCCATTGACGAAACCGGGTCCTGTCATGGGAACGAGGATTGTTTTTTGAGCCACCACTGCCTCAAGGCTACCAACGCTAGGATCAGCTCTAGGCCCCGTTGCTCGTCGAGCAGGGAGACGCGCACTTTTGACGTTCGATGCCACGAAGATGCCTTTCGCCCGCCTCTTTTGGCGCTTCAATAACGAGCGAATTCAATTGAAAGGCAGAGACGCAATCTCTTAGCCAACGAAAGCACCCGGCAACTCCACCATTAATGTCCATCAGTTCAAAATGACAGCATAGGCTCGTACGGTCGGTAGCCATCAACAATGCACCATTGTTACCGGTCACAACAGTGGCGGTTGGCTCTCTTTGATGGCTCGCGAGCATTCTTTGATTATCAGCTTCAGACGGCCGGGGCTAAATAAAGCGGTTTGTGTCAGTGCCGATCGTGGTCTGGCGGCCCTCACAGAAACCCTCCTCCTACGCGCGACCGACCGAGCGAGCGAGCGAGCCTGCGTCGCTGTTGGGAAGGGTGGGGAGGTTGGGGAGAAAGTTTTGTCCGTGTGTGTGTCTGTGACACGCGCCGCTGCCGATGCGGTCGAGCGCCGCTTTGCAGCAACCCCGCAGGTGTTTTAGTGGCCGTAACCCAAGCCCACAATTACAGGTGAAGTGCTTCTTACACTGATGGCTATCTCCGTGTCTCACTAATGGGCCCACCGTAAGCTGCCAGGCGAAGCATTATCCGATCCGGTAATTTCTAGTATTAGACAATAAAATAGAGACTTGCTTGTAATTGATAAATTAGGCTCGCTGGTGAAGCAGGTGTGGCGCTCACGGACGGTCGTGTCTCTCTGGGGGGATTTCAGAGGAGGCTAACGCGGGTCTCTCGCAAGACTAATTAGGGTTCACTTTGAAAAGCCATTCGTTTGCTACAAACCCAGAGGTTACCCCACCGTCATTCGAGAGGTTTTATAATCCAAGAATTCATGAATTGATAGAGGCTTTAATGGTCGAATATTATTTGCGTGAAACGTCGGCTGGTGGTAAATAAGCGTATTTATTATGGCAACAACATTTGTGACACATTTGTCGGAGAAATTAGATTGAATTGCGACGATTTTTTTCGCAAACGTTGCAAAAAATGAACACATATTGCAACCCAACAGGTGTAAATATTCAAATCGTGCCCATTAGTATTTCAAGTTGGCAACGCGAAACTGTAGAAATATGACTTTCCTGTCTTATTAAATTAGGGCAGTCTGACAAATGAAGCAAGCGAACAAGTTCGCGGCCTTTAATCTTCCTGACAGTAGCTCATCTTGCGGCGCGCTCGTCGGGAGTAAAGTGGATGAGCTCCATGATCAAAAACAACGTCATTTGTCTCCCACTGCCCACGCCGTGAGTGGCCCCTAACGCGTCGGAGCCACGGTGGCTTTAATCAATGCGAATCGCTAAAACTCAACGTTCCCGAGCGAGGGCACTGGTCCGCTCCGGAAATCTGCGTCTCCTCCTCCTGCTTGAACTCGTCTGCCACCGGGAGCCAACTTCACTTCCGCGCGCGACTCTTTTCATGGAGCCCTGGGAAGTCACAGACACGCTTTCAACGGAGCCTGCAGCCACCGTTAAACAAAAAGAAAACCACACACTGGCAAAAGCCAAAGCTAAAACAGTGCCTGTAATTAGGTGGCCATCGGAAAGGAAGCTGAAAAACCTGGCAACGCTAGCGCGCGTCTTCTCTGATATGGGAATAAAACACATCCCCCCCCCCCCCCCCCCCCCCCCCCCCCCCCCCCCCCAGGAATAACCGCGCATTTTCACTGTCAGCGTTTTAAAGTGCTTTAATGATATTTAGCCCTCAAGCCTATGCTGTGGTAAACTGGTAAACGTGGTATTAAACCTGTACATTTAAACGACAGTAAGAGAACTTTAATTATGAGTGGGATATATTTTCCTCCCCTATTTCAATACGCTGAATGTAAACGAGACGATAGCGCCTGGCAGATTAATACTAAGTTCCATATCGCCTTTTCATGGCAATAAATGAATGTTTCATGACACAGCATTGCGTCACACTGCTACACCACGGCAACCTCAATGCCAAACGTTCAACAACAATTAGCACAAAATCCACGTACATCAGACGGTGTCCTTAATTAATACGAGCGCACTCGCCGCACTCTTAATATCACTGCGGATTTTTGCTTGAACGTCGAAATGTTATCACCAGGTGTGTGTGTGTGTGTGTGATGAATGAGCTTGGAGATGGATGGGAAGCTCAATAAGTCATCCAGTCAGATAACCGCTCAGACTGCTCTGCGCCGAGGAAGTCTATTAGCCTTCGTCAATCCGCGGAAACTGTCCCACGCTCAGGACTGCGGCTCAAAAGAAAATAAGTTCAGTGGCGTTCCGTAATTGAAGTGGCCACCGTTAATGACGCCTCGTTGGTTATATTGAAGTGTGACGCCCGGCAACTGAAGGGTTTGCATTCGCGATTACTCCGATCGGTTTGTTCGGTAGGATGCGAATTCCGTTTCATGTTTCATTCCTAAAAATGATGTAGGCTTCTAGGTATTTGTGGGGACAATTTTTTTTTTTTACACGAGGCTCTTCAAACAAGGTATGCCTTTTGATGCGCTGCGGACCGCCGAAAGGCGTCCTTTGTTTGGTTCACAGCTCATTGCTTATTTATCACACGTGACTAGCGGCGCGCGATAGGGCACGTGCTCGTGAAGGATTCAGGGCAAGCACGTGGGCAGACACGTCCGTCATATTGAATGGCGAGTGTTGAATACTGTGCACTTGCAGAGTAGCGATAGAGTCAGTCTGAGAATCACTTTGACTGGAGTCAGTCTGAGAGTCACTTTTGACTGGAGTCAGTCTGAGAGTCACTTTGACTGAGTCAGTCTGAGAGTCACTTTGACTGAGTCAGTCTGAGAGTCACTTTGAGTCAGTCTGAGAGTCACTTTGATTGAGTGAGTCTGAGAGTCACTTTGACTGGAGTCAGTCTGAGTTACTTTGACCGGAGTCAGTCTGAAAGTCACTTTGACTGAGTCAGTCTGAGAGTCACTTTGACTGAGTCAGTCTGAGAGTCACTTTGACTGAGTGAGTCTGAGAGTCACTTTGACTGAGTCAGTCTGAGTCACTTTGACTGAGACAGTCTGAGAGTCACTTTGACTGAGTTAGTCTGAGAGTCACTTTGACTGAGTTAGTCTGAGAGTCACTTTGACTGAGTCAGTCTGAGAGTCACTTTGACTGGAGTTAGACAGAGTCACTTTGACTGAGTCAGTCTGAGAGTCACTTTGACTGATTCAGACTGAGAGTCACTTTGACTGAGTCAGTCTGAGAGTCACTTTGACTGGAGTTAGACAGAGTCACTTTGACTGAGTCAGTCTGAGAGTCACTTTGACTGATTCAGACTGAGAGTCACTTTGACTGAGTCAGTCTGAAAGTCACTTTGACTGAGCAGTCTGAGAGTCACGTTGACTGAGTGAGTCTGAGAGTCACTTTGACTGGAGTCAGACTGAGAGTCACTTTGACTGAGTCATTCTGAGAGTCACTTTGACTGGAGTCAGTCTGAGAGTCACTTTGACTGAGTCAGTCTGAGAGTCACTTTGACTGAGTCAGTCTGAGAGTCACTTTAACTGAGTCAGTCTGAGAGTCACTTTGACTGGAGTCAGACTCAGAGTCACTTTGACTGAGTCAGTCTGAGAGTCACTTTGACTGGAGTCAGTCTGAGAGTCACTTTGACTGAGTCAGTCTGAGAGTCACTTTGACTGAGTCAGTCTGAGAGTCACTTTGACTGAGTGAGTCTGAGAGTCACTTTGACTGAGTCAGACTGAGAGTCACTTTGACTGGAGTCAGTCTGAGAGTCACTTTGACTGAGTCAGTCTGAGAGTCACTTTGACTGAGTGAGTCTGAGAGTCACTTTGACTGGAGTCAGTCTGAGAGTTACTTTGACCGGAGTCAGTCTGAAAGTCACTTTGACTGAGTCAGTCTGAGAGTCACTTTGACTAAGTGAGTCTGAGAGTCACTTTGACTGAGTGAGTCTGAGAGTCACTTTGACTGGAGTCAGTCTGAGAGTCACTTTGACTGAGTCAGTCTGAGAGTCACTTTGACTGAGTCAGTCTGAGTCACTTTGACTGAGTCAGTCTGAGAGTCACTTTGACTGAGTTAGTCTGAGAGTCACTTTGACTGAGTCAGTCTGAGAGTCACTTTGACTGGAGTCAGACAGAGTCACTTTGACTGAGTCAGTCTGAGGCTCACTTTGACTGAGTCAGTCTGAGAGTCACTTTGACTGATTCAGACTGAGAGTCACTTTGACTGAGTCAGTTTGAAAGTCACTTTGACTGAGTCAGTCTGAGAGTCACTTTGACTGAGTGAGTCTGAGAGTCACTTTGACTGGAGTCAGACTGAGAGTCACTTTGACTGAGTCAGTCTGAGAGTCACTTTGACTGAGTCAGTCTGAGAGTCACTTTGACTGGAGTCAGACTGAGAGTCACTTTGACTGGAGTCAGACTCAGAGTCACTTTGACTGGAGTCAGTCTGAGAGTCACTTTGACTGGAGTCAGTCTGAGAGTCACTTTGACTGAGTCAGTCTGAGAGTCACTTTGACTGGAGTCAGTCTGAGAGTCACTTTGACTGAGTCAGTCTGAGAATCACTTTGACTGGAGTCAGACTGAGAGTCACTTTGACTGAGTCAGTCTGAGAGTCACTTTGACTGAGTCAGTCTGAGAGTCACCTTGACTGAGTCAGTCTGAGAGTCACTTTGACTGGAGTCAGTCTGAGAGTCACTTTGACCGAGTCAGACTGAGAGTCACTTTGACCGAGTCAGACTGAGAGTCACTTTGACTGGAGTCAGACTGAGAGTCACTTTGACTGAGTCAGTCTGAGAGTCACTTTGACTGAGTCAGTCTGAGAGTCACTTTGACTGAGTCAGTCTGAGAGTCACTTTGACTGGAGTCAGACTGAGAGTCACTTTGACTGAGTCAGTCTGAGAGTCACTTTGACTGAGTCAGTCTGAGAGTCACTTTGACTGAGTCAGTCTGAGAGTCACCTTGACTGAGTCAGTCTGAGAGTCACTTTGACTGGAGTCAGTCTGAGAGTCACTTTGACCGAGTCAGACTGAGAGTCACTTTGACCGAGTCAGACTGAGAGTCACTTTGACTGGAGTCAGACTGAGAGTCACTTTGACTGAGTCAGTCTGAGAGTCACTTTGACTGAGTCAGTCTGAGAGTCACTTTGACTGAGTCAGTCTGAGAGTCACTTTGACTGGAGTCAGACTGAGAGTCACTTTGACTGAGTCAGTCTGAGAGTCACTTTGACTGAGCCAGTCTGAGAGTCACTTTGACTGAGTCAGTCTGAGAGTCACTTTGACTGAGTGAGTCTGAGAGTCACTTTGACTGGAGTCAGACTGAGAGTCACTTTGACTGAGTCAGTCTGAGAGTCCCTTTGACTGAGTTAGTCTGAGAGTCACTTTGACTGGAGTCAGACTGAGAGTCACTTTGACTGAGTCAGTCTGAGAGTCACTTTGACCGAGTCAGACTGAGAGTCACTTTGACTGAGTCAGTCTGAGAGTCACTTTGACTGGAGTCAGACTGAGAGTCACTTTGACTGAGTCAGTCTGAGAGTCACTTTGACTGAGTCAGTCTGAGAGTCACTTTGACTGAGTCAGTCTGAGAGTCACTTTGACTGAGTGAGTCTGAGAGTCACTTTGACTGGAGTCAGACTGAGAGTCACTTTGACTGAGTCAGTCTGAGAGTCCCTTTGACTGAGTTAGTCTGAGAGTCACTTTGACTGGAGTCAGACTGAGAGTCACTTTGACTGAGTCAGTCTGAGAGTCACTTTGACTGAGTCAGACTGAGAGTCACTTTGACTGAGTCAGTCTGAGAGTCACTTTGACTGGAGTCAGACTGAGAGTCACTGTGACCGGCTTCTTCGTCAGGAACATTTCGCGTGCATCGCTCGACACTTGCCCGGACTTAGCACACGAGATCTACGGCACGAGACACTTTAAATGATTTGTAAAAAAAACCCTCCACATATTTCGAGACTTCATGCCGTCGTCCGACCAAGCTCGGCCACGTCGATGGTTTGTCGAGGCGATTCGTGATCGTAAAATTGCCCACGAATGTCAACGTCATAACAACAACAACAACAAAAAGACACACCCGGTAGGGTAAGTTGTCGTCCTAAAGTAAAAAGAAAAAGCGGCGTCTCAACCCACCCACACGTGTGCGCTGCAGGGTGATGGATCACAATGGCTCTGGAGTGGCGCCTTGATTCCAGAGCGAAGCAGTCAATAAAACCCCAACCCGGCCACTCCATTCGTCACGGCCTCGCAGAAAGGCCAGCCCCAGGCCCATTAACACGGAGCCATAAGCTGCTCTGCAAATCATTAATGGGCGCCTGCAAGAGGCCGTGTCATGTTAAATCGGGAGGCTGTGGTATGTGAGTGACGGCCCTGGCCGAATAAGTGACAAACACGTTGCTTATCTATATCGGGGTTCTCTTTTTACAATAAATACTTCATCATGGGATCTCCCTTGCCAGTATCATAACATAAGAATATGGTTTCCCCTTTCTGGCAATACAACAGTTGTGTGCAGATGTTAAAACGGGAGGTCTCATGGTGTAGCTGCTCACCCTGAGCTTTTAATGTCCTGATAGTGGCATTGTCTTCGTGCTGTTCGCCTTTTGGCGTCCTCTGGTCTAACACTGCTTGAGACGAGGCTGTCTTTGATGTTGACCAATCAGTTTCAAAGACAAAGCATTATTTACTACCAGAGTACGTTTTTTGTTTGCATGTTCACCACAAGTATTTGTGGTTAATGCAGACACGATTGCTCGTGAAAGGTGTCCGTTCGGTGTTTTAACATCTTAACACAACTGTTTTATTGCCAGAAAGGGGTAAAACCTAATTTTATAAGAAATATACTTCCCCCCACTGATGAGACTCAAACATTTACAAATAACTGATGTTTTGTATCGATATGATGGGCAAGTACAACTGTGAAAACAAATCAAAATTACAGGTCGCAGAAGGTGATATATCCACATATATGTGGCACCGTGTTGCGATTGTGAAGGATGAGAGGGTGCAGCCCTGCAATTGCTTGCTCACTCCACTGCTGGATGAAGGTCCTCCATGCACGGGAGCTCAATACATCCCCTCTAGAGAATCATTGGCCGACTCTTCATCGCTGGCCAGACGTCTTGGAAGACGTGCGAGTGCCCGCATGAAACGCCACCCCACGTCATCTGTCCACTGAGGCCGTCCATAAATGACGTCACGCACCTAGGTGGGGGGGGGGGGTCAGACATTTGTGACGATCTGTGACGAGGGGTGTTTGAGAAATGTGACGTCACATCAAAATGCGCAACTTTAAATAAATATAGACAACACGTTCTACTTAATTAAATATACTTTTTAAATAAATGTTTTCTCCTACAACATCAGATTGCGGCGGCACCTTAAATACGCACTGCAATGACAATAGTTTAAAGCGATTTGAAGCATGTTTTATATATTTTTTTGGGGGGGGGGAAGCTTTGTGACGTCATATTTGAGGGGGGGTCTGACTTTTTGTGACGCCGTGTGACGAGGGGGGGTCAACAATCGTCCAAAATCGCGTGACGTCATTTATGGACGGCCCCATTGACTGACTGTGACGAACCCCATTTATATTTATGGATGGACAGGCGCCGTAGGTTTTAAGAAGCTTTCCAATTTCTTCAACTGCCACGCCGGAAGAGCAGATCAAATCGGCGACAACTGCAAGTCCAAGTGTGTTTACCATCACAGCCACAGCAGCATTATGATTGCAGCCATATCGACATTGCGTGCAAAAAATAAATGTGGGAAAAATTATTTCCGCCATCCTTAGAGTTTGGCGCTTCATGGACGAGGGTGGCTCAGAGGGCAAAGACGGGACTTGAAAAGGTTTTCCGGCATTCTCTTGAAAATCAAGGTTGCACTCATTTAACACAAAGTGCTCGCCACAAATGAACCACAATCTCGTCAAGGGGCATAATCCATCACGCGACCTCTGGTCATCCTCGCAGCAGCAGCAGCAGCAGCTTCTGGATCGCCATCGAACAACGGCGCTCACCGCAGTACCCGCTTTCATGTGCGCTTCTGTGGCCTTCTGGAACGCTCTCTCCTTCCGATATTAGGAAGTCACCGGAGCTGTGCACTTTTGAGTCGAGATTGAAAAATATTAATTTTATTTATAATTGCTTTTCGGACTCGTTCTTTCCGTAAAGTCACGTAGGTATAACATAAGTCACGACGTTTCGGGCGCAACGCAAGCGCCCGTCATCATCTGCGGCAGACCACGCTTTCCCACCTGATGACGGACGCTTGGGTTGCGTCCGAAACGTCGTGACATATTTTATTTTCTACCTACGTGACTTTACCGAAAGAACCAAAGAGCATGGATTCCTGCAGTCACGATAGCGTTCAAATCCAAGATTGCTTTTCGTGTTTAGTTTGTTGGCCTTCGCCCTGCACCTCCGATTAGCATGCATGGTCGGCCACGCACGGTACGAAAGACAACAACAACAACAACAACCGCCATTCGCCACTAAGTGGCGGTGACGTCACCACGACGCTTGTGCCAGGCTATGTGCACCCTGAGGCCACGTGAAGTGTCGAACGCCCGCTGGCAGGAGGTCACGGGGCAGACCCAGGTGCCACGGGACGACTGACTGAGATGACGAAAGACAGTCACCGTACTTACACGCATGCAGCAGGGCACATTAACTTTGACGATAGCGCTCCTGCGTAGCCCTTTTCTGCAGTCAGCGCCTCCTCAAACAGCCCAAGACCCACCCACCCCCGCCTCCGTTGGCTATTTGTTCTCAATGTGCCACTTACAGAGCTCTAACTCAGATTAATATATTTTTAAAAAAAACTAAGACGCTAACAGGAGACTCGGAGAACCTCTTTGCTCACACCGGCGTAGAATATAGCAATTGTCATCACTTGGCGATCCTCGATTCGGAAATGGAAGGGGAAAAAAAAATCCACATTTGTACGACAGGAGCAAGTCTCGCCATGAGATGGATAATCATCGCTGACGCCAGTCGTACGACGGGCTGGGTAGGATAGATGCATTCGGCGCTTTGACACACCGCCATCTGACAAGATAAACTTGGGAGTGAAAGAAAAAATCAAGTGGACAGCTTTGCAGTCCTAATTCACGCTGCATGTTGACAAATTGCCTAAGTGCTAGATTAAAATGACAAAAAAAATTCAAGGATCGGAAATTTGAAATGCGGCCTTGATTAAAGTCGTGTAAAATATTGCGGCAGTGGCTAATTAACAGAGTTGATTAATCCACTGCGGTACTTAATAAAAAACTACTCGGCTTGGAACATAATTAATCCTCAAAAAGTATAATGTTCCATTAATCCAACAATGCATAGCCTAAAATACACCTTTAAATCTTCGACAAGCGTTCACATTGATTTTATGTGCTCCTTTTTATTAAAAAGTAAGCCTTGGTGAAAAGAGATTATCTATCACCAAATTATATTTCAGATGCACATGGATATAAAAGCACGGTCGTACGTAGTTATGAACTTTTTTTATATATAAGGCTATTATAAATTCATTTTTGGCACGGTAGCGAAACAAAGCCAACGATGTATTGCATTGAAGTGCGTAGCGCATTAGCGAACCAGAGAATTATTATACAGCTGACGTGGCGGGTGCATTTGTTAACATCAGAGCCAATAATGTAATCGAATATAATCAATCTCCTCAGCCGTGACCCTATTATCTGCAACTCCGATTATCCGTGGCCCCCTAACTAATGGAATAAAAAAAAAACATTCTTAGAAACGGTGTGTTTTTTTTTCACAGATAAGAGGAGTCGTGTGGGATATTCTCATTTAGCAGCGAGCAAATGTGCAGATAAGAAGAATGACTGTAAGAGAAAGGCACAGACCACAGCATTCACTGATATCGAGCCCCCGTCCCACCACATCTATGCGGATGAGAGGAGTTTCAACCCAAGACTTTTGTTGAATCCCTAAGAAGAATGAGTTGGAATTTTTGTAAAGACGTCATATAGGAAGGTCCACACGTGCACAGGACTGTAAATACTCAATTGACAACTACGCCAATTAAGTGCCGTGTGCACAGTGCAATGGGCCATTGAAGTGAATATAATACAACGGTGTATTACACATAGAGTACTTTAATTTATTATTCTAATTTTTTTTTCAAAAAAGTATATATGTTTCAAGAACTGCTTTTTCAAAAAAAACAATGATTGTCAGCGTCTTGTGGAATCCAAGTTCAGCAATTTTGTTCACGTTGTCATCGTCACCACCACCATTAACTTTATTTCACCCGGCAACAATCCCACCCGCCGAGGCACGAAGTCCCTTTTACAAGGACATGCCATGTGCCTGTCAGGCCTGGAATAATTCCTCGAGATCCACATTGCAATACACATCCAAGTAATGTAGCCCGTGAGCCCAGACCACATATTTAATTTGTACCACCTGAGATGGCATGGCATGAGTGGTAACACATTTTGTTTATGGGACAGTTAACAGCGAATTATGCAATAACGACGTGAAACTAGTTATTACGTCAATCGTGTACATGTTGAATTTCTTTCACACCGTACGTAGCCCACCGTGCTAATCGGAGGTGTGGGGAAAGAACAGCAAACTAAGCACACACAAATCACCATTATTAGTCGTGTAAATAACTCGGTGCTGCGAATGTTTTGGTACCAATTTCTGCTATGGCCCATAGACTAATAAATGAAACACCTGCATCCTGAGTATAGTGTTTAAGAGTATTTAAAGGCGAGTTGGTTGGCACGGGGTTTTTTTCCTTCTGAAAATCAGAACAGAAGAAACCCAACTGACCTGGCCAACATCTGAATTAGAGCACCGATTGAGATCGTCCAGAATACGTTTGATGCATATCATGTCCGTATTGTTCCATGGAGGTTGATATATTACGTGATATATATTAAATGAAAAAAACACTGTCCGTCTATTGGCCAGTAAACCTTCAAAAGTGGCATTAATCAGTGTGCGGCATGGGAGGCACGTGCATTTCACATCCATAGGGGCTCAATGCTAGAAGATAAGCGGCCCCTGCAATGTATCGCTCGTGCCACGGCTGGTGCAAGGGGCTCCACTAGAGGGAGCTAAAGAGTACCCCTCTTGGAGAGTATTTGACCAACTCATCTATGCCCGCCAGAATCCTGAAAGCGGTGGAAGAGTGCCCACAAATGCAACCCATCGCACGTGACCTGCCGATCGACTCACTGTGGTGCAGCCATTTAGCGCCACAGTGGCTAGGAGATGTTAACTACCTCGCCTGGTGCGCAGGAGGTAGTGGGTTCAATCCCGACCCTGACGCCTGCTGCTGTATATTTGAAGTTTGCGTGGCCGCGTGTATTTTTCTCCAGGTTCTCCGGTTTTTCCTTCCACATTTAGAATCACGCGTTGAGAGCATTTGGCCGCTATAAATGTCCACGTGATAAGCCACTTCGTTGAGCTATCATTTGTGGCCAGGTCGCTTCTGAAAAAGAGCTATAAAACTCAGCGGACCTTACCTGGTAAAATAAAATAAAAACATATTTAGTTTAGTTTCAAACTTCAGGGTGGACAGAGGCAGCGGGGAGATTTAAGAAACGTTCAGTTGTTTCAACTGCCGAGCCCGGAGATCAAACCGGCGACTTCTCGATTGCAGGTCCAGTGCAGCTGACCCATAACGCCGAGTGGTATTCCATGAACGAGCTATGCACCCGGCTACAAATACACCGGACGAAGCGATTTGAAGAAAATTCAGGCATGCTGGAAACCATCAAGATGGTTTCAAAGACGGGGCCGCAACATAAACAAAAAGGCACTTAAACATAACGCGTGTAGGTCAATTAGGCGTACCGCGCGCTAATTTAACAAAACAACGTTTCACTCCAGGCAATGAATTTGGGCATCTGAAGTTTGTGCTGCGTTGCCACGGCATTTCTGGGACATTGCTAAAACTTTCCATGAAATATTCGGTGCGTGGGAAAGAAGCGGCCCTTTGTGACGAGGCGCAACCCGGAGCACTCTTCCCTGGAGTCGCTTCGTCCACAGATATTCGGAGGAAGAATCGGCGCGCGAACCAGGCCCTATCTCTCAGCCACAGCATTCCTTCTGCAAGCGGATGACCAACAACCCCGCGCGCGCACTGTCCAGCAAAACACCCGGCACGCTCCCTTACACGTTGTCAAGTACACGAGAGTGATTACACATTTTTGGACTCTCGTCGGCGTACGCTTGTGTCTGTATGTTCTGTGCGTCTGCCGCATGCGATGTCGCGCAGAGCCAGGACGAAAATGTATTATTTGGCCCCGAGCGAGAAAAAGGGCTGCCGCTTGCGAGTCTGGCTCTGTGAGATTTTGGGGGCTCAGTTCGCGATGGCTGTGTCTGGGCCAGGCCACTTCACAAGTGCTCTTAATGGACTGTGAATCACTTCACCTGTTAACATGCTTAAGTGCAATGAAGCCTGGGTCTGAGAGTGAAATAGTGTTAATGTCAAACCGTACCAATAAACGGCCTCGCCTGTCCGCCTACTCCATTATACCCAGCATTGCATGCCATTATGGGAATGCGGTTTCAGAAGGGGGTTTCGGAGCAAGGCAGCAGTAAAAAACCGCATCAGTTGCCGACAATGCAGCTGAAAAATCGTTGGTCTCAAGCGAGCTCTTACACTTTCTATTTAACAATTATTAGGCCCGCCTGCATTTGTTACCAGAGCGTTGGCTGCCCGCTCAAACCGTCCGTGAAAGCAAATCAGCCCCCTTTTGTGAATCTGCGCACAAACACAACAACGATTTTATGCCAGAAAACCCCTCGATGTGTTAGGACGAACATGAAAAGGAATCTATGATATCAGCAGTCAGTAAGTGGTGTTGTGATGGTCTGTGTCTGCCCTCTATTGCACTTGGCTTCTGTGCCAGAAACTAAACCCCATCCTTTTCGGGCTCCACTGTTTATTATGATTATTATCACCACCATCATCATGTATCATTATTATTATTACGTACCTCCGATTAGCACCGTCAAAACCAAGACCATGGCTCTGGCTGCGGACTGGAGTGGCAGAGTCCCTCTTCATCAACGGGGAAGTCGTGGAGGAGGTCGAAGTCTTCCCGTACCTCGAGGTGCATTTCTCGAGGGATGGAACAAGGGAAAAGGAAATCAAAGCCCGGATCGGAGCGGCGACCGCAGCAATGGGGACGATGAAGCGGTCTGTGGTCTCAAGACGGGAGCCGAGCCTTCAGGCAAAGCTCTCGGTCTATCGGTCAATATTCGTCCCGATCCTGACCCAGGGTCACGAAACCTGGATCCTGACGGATACGCGCTCAAGGGTGCAAGCGACAGAAATGGACTTCCTGCGCAGAGTGGCAGGGCTCTCTCTCTCTCTCCCCCGGGCTATGCGCCAGAGACTCGACGTCCAGTCGGCACTACTGAGCGTGCAGCGAAGCCAGCTACGGTGGATGGGTCATCTGCTAAGGATGCCGAAAGAAAGACTCCTCCCCGGGAGAGGTTCGAAGGACGTCCCCCAGGCAAAAGACCCAGAGGCCGCTCGCGATCGTGCTGGATAGACCGGGGTGGTGCGCCTGGCTGAGGATCCGGGAGCCACAGTTGATGCTGCTGGCGGAGGACAGGGCAGGATGGAGGAAGGGCCTTGGTGGAGTGGCTGTCCCTGCGACCCGATTCAGTTTAGAAAATCGGGCCGATATCGATTGATTGACCTCTGATTTTCACGGTCGGCTACGTATACGGTGCGCGAATACGTTAAAAGTACATATTTTTTTCAAGGGGGGTCCTGCCAGGCTGTTGCAGTACGGGGCGATGCAGCTGCTGTGTGTAATCCCAATTGAGCAGTTGGCAGCGAAATCTTTTCAGCATTGGGAAGTTTGGCCAATATAAATGACTCTCAACGTGCATTGTATCCATCGGAGGAAACCCATGCAGAACAGGCGGGGGGGGGGGGGGGGGGAGAGAACATACGTACTCCACACAGGAATGCACCCCAGTCGGGAATCGAACCCAGGTTCCTCTTGCTGTGAGGCACAAGTGCTGCTTACCACTGAGCTACCCTGCCACCCATGAAATAATTTGTTCAAATTATCCTTGCAGCCGCTAGTGGCCGCTATATTCACCCCAGTGTTCACAACTTCATCATCGAATCGGAATTTCTAAAACCCAAAAATGCGATCATTCATCGAATCGCTGAATTGTTACGTCCCTTGCAGCGAACACCTCTACCACCAATCGATCCTACACTAGCATCTGTGATGATGTGAGTAGGAGAAAATAATAATAATGATACAGCAATCATCAGCGATGGGTTAATCCATGGCTGGACGAAGGCCTCCCCACGCCGCGACCATCTCTCACGATCACGCGATGTAATGGGTAACAAATGAGAAGATTGTACCAGGCCCATCGTGAACGGGCCTTAACAATAATGCACAATGGTGACTCGACGTAACGCGCGCGGTGTTTAGCTGCTGCTCGTTCAAATGTATCCTTTTTTTTTGTAAAGCATTTCAGAACGACCAACGCTCCCGTCATGAATATCGTTTGCAATTACAATTCCTCGGGGTAATAGCCCGCGACGCTTCAAACTCGGACGTGGAAGTCCATGATCCGGGGTTTCTTCTTCTTCCCCCTCCGCGTTTCGAGTCAATGTCACGCGTGCAGAGCGTTTGTCTGCAATGAAGTGTCCACGCGGTAAGCCACTTCGTTGAGCTATCGCTTGTGGGCCAGGTCGCTTCTGAGGGGGAGGGGGAGTTTACCTAGCATGTTCATCTGAGTGTACACCACCTCTACACCGTTCATCATGCTAAGTCGGCCAATGAAATGCTATTTTTTATGTAAATTCCTTTGTCAAGGCACCTTGTTTTCTCGCACACAGCTTAAAGGTCCGCGGTCTGAGCGTGGCTGTGTTTCACTCCAGCGCTGTCCTCGAGACAGCCTGGTCCCTTCACCTGATGAACGCCGCTTGTGTTGTGGCCGAAACGTCATGATTTTTGTTGTTTTATTTTTTACCTACGTGACTTTACCGAATAGAACCAAAGAGTATGGATCCTTGCAGTCACGAAAGCTTTAAATTTAGAATTGATAACCTCTACGGGGAGGGCTTTCACCTATCTGTTAGAGCTTTTAACAGACAACGGGACAAGAAGTCACAGCTCATCGAGACGCTGACCTTCCTCAAAAGATGCCACGATCACAAGGTAATACCCATCGCTTTCACACTCACTTCTGCTGCTGTATCTTCTCCGAATTCTAAACAGATTCTATTTAAGGCCAGCCTATCTTTAATCTCAGAGAGGATAAGGCTACTCCGATTTGAACTCGATACTTTAGACAGGACTCTCCTTCTGATTGGAATCACGTAAACAACATGACTGCTTCTTCTGCTGATTCACTGTCAGTCAAATGTAAAGCTAACCTTATTTCTAAATTCAACCACCTATCAAAGAAGAAATCCAGTTCCACGTATAACAAAACTAGACGTCAACAAAATCGTCATTAATCAGAGTAGCACCCCGATTTTGGACAATCTGAAAACAGTACTGGCTAGGGGACTGAATTTTGCTGTCACCCCAAAACACATACCAGTAGATGATATCATCTCTCAGGTCGATGTAGCCCTCAAAGGCATAGGACACATCCAAGCAGACGTTGCGAGAGCTGAAATAGCCACTATTCTTAAGAATGCTAAGAAACCCATTAGTAACATCAGCAAAAATGAACGCTCTGAACTCGCGAATTAAAAAAAACAGAAGTGATATAGTCATCCTCTCAGCCGATAAAGGCAACACTACTGTAATTATGGATAAAGATTCATACAACAACAAAATCCAGAATCTGTTCAACGATGGAAGTTACTCAAAAATTAAAAATGACCCTACCAATAGCCTAGCGATAAAAACCAACAAGATCATCACAAGTTCGACCTCCCTAATCGACGCAACTAAACGTCCCTCCCTAAAACCTTCTGCTGCAAGACCCCCTATATTCTATGGTCTTCAAAAAGATTAATAAAGAAGGCACCCCACAACGACCCATCGTATCCACGATCAACTCCCCTACCTATAGACTGGCCCTTTTTCTGTCAGATACCTTGCTGCCTTTCACTCGCAAGACCGCCTCAGCAGTACTTAACTCAGCCCAATTGGTCTCTATGGTCAAAGACGTTGTACTGTCCCCTGACGATATCCTTGTCAGCTTCGATGTGGTCTCTTTGTTCACCAAGGTCCTGATACCATTGAAATAATTGAAAATTTGGTCCAACATGGACTAGACCCCGATACACCTGCACTGGTTAGGCACTGCCTCAACAATACTTCCTTTACTTGGAATGGCTCCTTCTACAAACAAAATGAGGATACCCCCATGGGATCCCCCTTGTCACCAGTGATAGCCAAAATTTTCATGGAGAAATTTGAATCAGACGCCATCCAGACTTCCACCCTCAGACCTTCCCTGTGGAAGAGATATGTGGATGACACTTTCGTCATTTGGCCACATGGCCTCCCAGCTCTGAACCTTTTCCTACACCACATCAATTCCAGACATCCCACCATAAAATTCACCATGGAAGTGGAGAAAGATGGCAAGCTACCATTCTTAGATGTTCTGTTTGAGAGGAGACCTGATGGCTCATTGGGGCATTCTGTCTACAGAAAACCCACCCACACAGATTCCTACTTGAAACCTGATTCCCACCACCACCCAGCCCAAAATAATTCTCCCATCAAAACTTTATACTATAGGGCTCATTGCATTTCGGACCAACACCACCTGACCAGTGAATTAAAACATGTACACCTGGCCCTCAAAAGGAATCGATACTCTGACCGTACCATCCGCCAAGCTGTTTCTCCCTCCATACAGAAACAACCACTTGATACTCCAGTCAAAACTATCGCACTACCATATATAGCAGGCGTTACTAAAAATATTTCCAAAATTCTAAACAAACACAAGATCCAGGTCCGGTTCAATACAGTACACAAAATTCGTGATCTGATCCCATCCGTGAAGGATGTCATTCCTGACTTACAGTACCCCGGGGTTTACAAATTGAGTTGTACCTGCGGTGATTGCTATATCGAGGAGACAAAGCGACATGTCTCTGACCGAATTCGCGAGCACAAATCAGATTTGAAACACGGCAGAACGAATTCTTCTGCCGTAACTGATCACTGTGGGTGATCACGATATAATTTTCTCCGATACCAAGGTTCTTTGCAAACCCACGGGTTTTTATCAGAGATTTGTTCACGAGGCAATTCAGATCTACAAACACAGACACAATTTCAACCGAGAAGATGGTTTCAAATTAAGCAACCATTGGAAAGATGTTCTAAATCGAACCAAACATTAAACTAATTTTCAATGGTACAGTATATTTTTCAAGTAGTGGTACCCCAAACTTTCGCAGCTCTTTAAAAAATCCCTTTTCACACCATCAATAGGTAAACTCCCCCCCAAGCCAACCGGCATGTTCACCCGCATGTACACCACCTCTACACCGTTCATCATGCTAAGTCGGCCAATCAAATGCTAATTTTTATGCTAATTCCTTTGTCAAGCACCTTGTTTCCTCGCACACAACTTAAACGTCACGGTCTGAGCGTGGCTGTGTTTCACTCCAGCGCTGTCCTCGAGACAGCCTGGTCCCTTCACCTGATGAAGGCTGCTTGTGTTGTGGCCGAAACGTCGTGATTTTTGTTGTTTTATTTTTTACCTACGTGACTTTACCGAAAAGAACCAAAGCGTACGTGCGTGCCATGTTGGTCACGTGGGTTTGTCTGCCTATACTTTACTCTGTTGCTCAGTAGTGCAGGTTGGCGAAGGGACGGGGGGGGGGTTAGTGGCGGGCAGATCCATGCAGTTCACCACTGATGTTAGCCGTGCCCGGGTATCTATCTCGGGACAGCTGAGTTCATAGCGCAGTGCAGTCACGACTGCACCACCACAAAATGCAAACTGCAGCTGTGCATCGTATGCTGCGCTATTTATTTAATTGTATAAGCATAACATACGGTCCTGTCGTGAACCAATGGATTTAAGGTACGCATCTGCAGGTTAACTTGAGTGTCCTTTTGAGCCTCAGTACCTTGGTTAGCAATTATTTACAGAGATGAATCAACGACGGTGTTACGAGAGGAGGGGGGCAGAAAAAAAAACATATCTTAAAACAAACATTTCTGGTAAAGTCCTTGAACTGCCTCGCGTAGCACACCGAGTTGAGTCATACGTCCAAGCAGCTTACACAATGATTTGAAGGAAAAAAACACCGCTTTTTAAAAATCTATATACATACTGTACCAAGATTGGGAAGCTCTGTACAGCTTCAGATCGATGATCGATGTGCGGTCTCTTTGAGTCGTGTTGCATTGACAACAGCGATAGTGCTCAATCTTCAACGGTGCAACTTCAACACTGATGACGATTTCATTTTTCGATTTAAAGCTTTCGTGACTGCAAGGATTCATCTTCTTTGGTTCTTTCGGTAGAGTCACGTAGAATGAGAACAAATTAATAAATTAATAAAATAACACAATAAAATTCTCACGACGTTTCGGCCACAACACAAGTGGCCTTCATCAGGTGAAGGGACGAGACTGATGAAGGCCAGCGCTGTCCTCGAGACAGTCTCGTCCCTTCACCTGATGAAGGCCACTTGTGTTGTGGCCGAAACGTCGTGAGAATTTTATTGTGTTATTTTATCTTATTAATTTATTATTTTATTCTCATTCTACGTGACTGATGACGATGCCTGGAAAGC